GAAAATTGGATCTCTGTGAAACTCGGGTTTCTTGAGATAAACGTCACCAATAGATCTCGACACCTGGAAAGAAAAAAAAGAAAAAAATCAGCATTTTCAATACATTTTGATAGGATATAGATAAAAACTAAATGGAAGATAACAAGCAAAGGATACACAAAACAGAGGCAGACGCCCTGTATTCCTCACTAAGCACCACACAAACCTCTTAATAATATGAAAAAGAAACATAAACATATATACTAATACTTATATAAACACCAAGGAATATATAGTCCCCAGCCTAAACTTTCACCAAATCACAACACTTTGCTTTATAAGATCTTCATGTACATCTCATGAGCGGAAGCCCGAAGGCGTGCTACTTTGACTTCAGCTGCATGAGACAGGGCCAAGAGGCAGAGCATGTGATTCCTGGAAGAGTAGTGAAGATATAACCCTTTAGAACAAGCTTGGTATATAGAATAGGATAATATAATAACTGAACTATACGTGACAGATTCAGTTCCTCAATGAACAAGAGATTATATTCCTTGGTGAACCAAGAGAAAATAAAGGGAAAAAGAAAAATGCAACATGTGCAAAAAAGAGGTTACAATCTTGTCCACCATACCGTCCAATCTTGCCTACATTGCGTATCAAAGATGTCCTTTAGCACGGCACCTTTTCACAATCTTGAAATAAGTAAAGACATCCAACAAAATGTGCCAAATTGGATAGCATCATAAACAAGGGAATGTGAGGAACACTTAGTGCACGTTTTGCACGCAACAATTGGCCAGATTGGATAGCATAATAAACAAGAAGTTTTATCAGTATATTATAACCAAACTAAAACTGTAATCAATAACATAAAGGCTGCAATTTGGGGTTCTTTCTTTGTCAAGACCACAGCTTTAAACTTGGCCCCTGTTTGGTGGAGATTAAAATCAGATTTTTAGTAGATTTTGATAGAAGTTGATTAAATGTGTGTGTGAAAAGTTGTAGGACGCATAAATATGTGGTTAAAATTAATTGTTGACTCTGATTTATATTAAAATCTAGATTTTAATCGGTATCAAACAGTGGCCAAATTTATCATATCATGAACAACCGTGTGAAATCTTGTAAGGTAAAAGATTGACAGCAGGTACTCATTCTAGCTTTCCTCCAAGAATAATGAGATGGAAGATTTCGCTCCAGGAATTAGGAAATTTGATAGCCTCGACTGTTTTAAAGTCACCTGATCTAGATTCCAAGATATTCTTACACCAGTTTAAAACAAATTAGAAATGATAGATATTGGATTTCCAAAAGAAGAAATCAGTAAATCAGTTTGTATAAACGAGTACCTGAATTATGCCTTTGATTCTCCAAACTCCGTGGCATTGGAGCACTATTGAAGAATCATCTGGATGAAGTGATTGTACCTCTCTCCTCACTTCCTCAGATGAAACATTATGATCAGTTGATAACCGTTCTGCGACCACCGAATTGCTGTCCACATCGAAACCTTTCCTGCCAAGAACGGCTCTTGAGTCTCCTAAATTCGCTACGTATAGCTCACCGTCTGAAATTGCACCAAGAATACAACATGATCCAACTGAAGCAATCTGTGGTTTGACTGGCATCGATTGCTTCACTAATCGAGTGAAATCCTCTTCTGTCGCATAAAATGCCTTCTTTATCACATCTACTGATAGACCTCCTTGCTCGGTTTCAAATTCTACAAAACACCCCACATATGCACGTTTCAGAGACAAATATTAGAGAGAGAGAGAGAGAGAGAGAGAGAGAGAGAGAGGATTTGCTTCATAAATCACTATGGACTAGAACATCCCCACATAATTCATTGCGTGCGTATTAACTATCTCATCTAAAATTTTGAAATATAATTTAAATCCTGTCTTCAAGAACAGATTCATTTTTTGAAACCGTATTAAATCTCGTCTAAAACTATTAGGTATAATTTAAATTTTGACTTCAACATAAGAGAGATATTCTAGCCCAATTTTCTTTTCAAAAGATAAAAAACATAAATTTAGAGAAAAATAAAACCCCGTCAAGTCAGAATATTGAGCAACATATATCGAATTATCTTAAAATATACATCCATATATTAAACAAATTTAGCAAACCCCGTCGAGAAACTCATACAAAGAAGCGCACACATAAGTGAAAACAACAAAAGAATTCCGTATCCAATTTATTACTGTGGAGATAAGGGAAGAGGTGGCGGTTGACGAAGCGCGAGGCTTCGGGTCCACCATGGCCATCATAGACGCCGATGTAGGTGGTGGACGGCGAGGTGAAGATCTGACTCTGGTCCTCCATGCTGGAATTGGCTTGTACGGCGGCGATCGAGAAGTCGCCCGAGGCGTGCGGCTTCAGGTCAACGTGCCACATCAATCCATCACTACTCCTCCTCCCCAAATACCTCTCCAATGGCCGATAACAGCACGATCGCAACATCCTCGTTTTTTTTTAGGGTTTGAATATCAGCCCTGCGTAACGAGGGGTTTATGGAGAGGGAGAAAGAATTTGGTGGACTCGCTGACACCTACGGTCCTACGCGCTTTTGTTTCCTTAATTAAAACATTTTCTATTAATTATTGTATTCAACAGTTGGGTTTTACTTCCTCGTTGTGAAGTTATTTTAAATATTTTATTTAGCCCACGCTTGATATTGTTAAAAATATTGATTAAAATTTAATTCAAAATTAACAATTAATTTTAACCACACATTTTATAAGATCAACAACTTTTTAATCATATATTCCATCAACGTTTATTAAAATCTAGTTAGGGATGGTATTCGAACTGTTAAACCGAAAACCTCGGTTAATCGAACCGGATGGGACCAAAAAAATTGAACCAATGGTACAATAGGGTGGTTATGGTTTTGATTTTAATGACCCAGTTCGGGGTGGGGCGTGTATGGTATTTAGCGATGGTGCCACACCCCAAACCGATTACCCGTTAAAAAATATATTAATTTGACAATTAGACTTTCCATTATTCTTTCCCAAAATTAATTGGGCTTCCCCAAAATTCTGGTTGTAAACCCTTAACTTAGTAACCTAACTCTAACCCTACACGTTAAAATTGAAAATTAGAAACCAAACTTACAAAACACTCGTTCACTCAACCAATGAATCAAATCAGATCCGTCGACGCTCTGCTGCCTGTAGTTCAACTTCAAATTGTAGTAATCGACAACGAAATCTACAATATTGTGAGCACACTCCCTAGGTTGTTCTGCATCCATTGGTTTCAAACCATCTTCCCTGTACAATTGAACAAAATCCAGATACATTATACTTGATTGCATTTTCTTTATAATATTATTTAAATATATGATGCGTGGCCGAGAAAATGTGTGCTCGAGATTGGCTTTAGATTGATATTTACGGTACGATTTATTGTTTTATATTTGTTATTCATACACTTTCTTTTATTCCTAATTTTTTTTTTATTGTATGTAGAAAATTCTGCTCCTTCATCATACTCTGGAGCTTGTGCAAGGTTTAGTGAGGAGGATATTGACGAAGAGGTACATTTTTTTGTTTAAATCCTCAGTTAAGACCATTCTTGATTGGATAGTATGGTTGTATTATTATTCTAATTACATTTCTTATTTACTATATAGGAATCAACTTTGAGTCTTGACTCTTTGACATATGCTAGTAAGAGTTGTGGGGAAGAATGAAGATTGACCCACACTAGTAAAAGTCTTGACCTATGTTGATAATATTGTTTGTTAAATTCGAATTTTGCATTTGGAAGTTAGGATATTGTTTGCATTTTCATTTGGGATATCATTTGTTAAATTAACTTAGTATTGTGTTTTTGTTTTTATTGAATTTTCTTCATAATTTTTTTTTTCAATTTGACGGTTGGAGTTTGAACTTATAAAAAATAATTTATTTTCGTGATTATTAATCGAATCGAATCAAGATATGAATCGAGCCAAATCGAACCGACTTACGCTATTATGGTATGGCCAAAAATTTGGTGGTGCAGTTATGGTTTTGGTCGAACTGATCCCGAACCGAACCGTTGTCATCTCTAAATCTAGTATGATTTTTAATCTCCAACGAACAAGGACTTAATATATGGTAAAAATTCAAATAGAAATCAATATTTCAATCTCTACAAAACATTAAAATTTCAAATAATGAGGACCAAATGTGGGCTTACTTCATTGAATTCAATAACTTACTAGAAAAGAATTTGTATGAACAATTCTAAAAATCTGATTTTAATCTTACCGAACAAGGGATGTGTGATAAAAAGTCAAATAGAAAATCAACATTCATTGAATTGAATAACTTGAAAAGAATTTGTATGAACAATTCTAAAAAATATTTTATTTAGCCCATGTTTTACTTTTTCGTTGTCATGTTAAATATTTTATTTAGCCCATATTTGGTACTGCTAAAGAATTTAATTAAAATTTAATTCAAAATCAATAATTAATTTTAACAACACATTTCATAGGATCCATGACTTTTGAACCACATATTTTATCAAATTTTATTAAAATCTGTTAAAAATCTGGTTTTAATATCAAGGAACTTATTATGTGGTAAAAAGTCAAATAGAAATCAGCAGTTCAATGAATTGAATAACTTACTAGAAAAGAACTCGTATGAACAATTCTAAAAATCTGATTTTAATCTTCACCAAATATAGACTTAATATATGATAAAAAGTCAAATAGAAATTATCACCATTGAATTGAATAACTTAATAGAAAAGAATTGGTATGAACAATTCTAAAGATACACATCGTGTGAATAAGTGAATTGAAACTTTCAAGTTATAAATAGCACATAGGATTGTTTTAAATGGATAAAAGAAAGATACAACAAAATTAGTCGAGGATTTGAACTCAAATGAAATTCCGACCACATATATATATATATATATATCTAACAGAAGGATAAGGAAAAACTCATACACGGATGACGAAAGCCATTCAAACATCTAAAAGTTAGGGGCTTTAACCTCATCGGTAGTTACAACAACATCCCTACGACAATATGGGCAGTCCCCACAAGTCTGCAGCCAGGGTTCCAAGCAGCAAAAATGAAACCTATGACCACAAGGCAAGCATATCAGCTCATCTCCCATCGAAAAGCTCTCTAGGCATATGCTACACTCCCTCAATGCCCTAGATATAGCCTGTTTGTCACCTTCATCTGTATCACTGAATTTATCAACCTGCAAACAGTTCAACGCCTCTTGAGTGAGTCCAGGAGGTCTTTTCTGCATCACGGAATCAGTGGATGAGGGAATTGCAGCCAGCCAATCCCTGGAAATATCAGTTTCCCAATCTCCACCATCAACTAGCCTGAAGTCACAAAGTCAATATGATAAACATAAGATGGCTAGCATTTATTAGGCGTAAAAGTCTGCAACTATAGAAAAATAAAAATCAAGATCATAATTGAAAATACATTCTTTATTATGCTTGTTTTTTACAAGATAGGTGCATAAGCGAGGTGGAAACTGAGAGACGGATTTATCACTCCAAATATCGGTATTTAGCAACAAAAAATACAGGTAATAGATTTCACAATCCATCATCAAATAATATTTTGCGATCAACTTGAAGCATCAAACCAACGAAATCATTACAATTATATATACAAGGTAATAATTGTGCATTTGTCTGGGTGGTGTTGTAGCATTGGCACACTACAAGGGGACGAGAAGGATAAATAGGTAAGGAGAGGAGGATTTTAACTGGATATTGGCGTAGAGAGGCTTAGAAGGCCCAAAATAATTGAGAGGGAAAAAAATGAAAAAGAAAAAGAAAGAAGAATAGTACAGGAGGACAAAGTCTTGCTGCTTGCTGAACAAGGGAGAGGAAAAAAAGGGAAAAAGAAAAAAGAAAAAAGAAAAACAAATATAATAAGGTATTTGCATGATTTGAACACCAAAAGGCATTCTAGCAACCGAATTTCATATTTTTAGTTCAGTTAGTGTCAAGTTTTGGCAAGGTGAGTTCAGATTGGTGAAACCAGATAATGCGCCTGGCTAGGAGAAAGGAGGAACAGAAAAGTACAGTACAGCTTCATCATTGAGGAGACCAACCTGTTTCCAGACAGAGTGACACCTCTCAACCTTTGCAGAAGCCTTTCTCTTGCAAGTAGTACAGATCCAGGAAGCCGGCTGTTCCCACTGCTAACATTTCCAGATGCAGAGTGGTGGATCCCTCTATCAAGCCAAATCGATTCATTTTCCTGACCATGTAAAATAAGTTTATAAAACAATAAAAAAGCCGGCACATATGTCTTTGGTATGCACACGTTCTTTTTTTCACCATTCGCAAGATAATCAAGAAAGTTATTGATCCCCAAGTAAACTATACACTTGACAGGAGGCACAGGATAAAAAAGGATGAAAACCAACAACAAAAGGCACAATATCTATCCAGAGTTTATCGGTACAGAAACTATACAAACTTAGCAGAGATGAATCAGCATCAATTGAATGACTACAACATGGAGAAGACATTCATCTACTATCTATCCAGAGTTTACCGGCGAAGAAACTATACAAATTTAGCAGAGATGAATCAACATCAATTGAATGACTACAACATGGAGAAGACATCCATCTACAGATAAAACATCCAGCTTCCTCATCAATTCAAGTCCATAAAACAAGAAGAATTGTAAAGCATTCACTGGTAAACAAGTACAAAGTCTTGTATGAGATGGGTAAATTTTCTAACAGTTTCATGAGGACTATATTGAGTGAGATGATTGAAAAAGAAAAAAATGAGAGCAGTTTTAGTTGGAACAAGAAGCAGGGGGTAGATAAAAACTGAAAACATCAGAACTTTCTTTTTACTAGAATAAGGAAAGAAAATTATGCCACGTGATCCTGAAAGTGAAAATGAGTAATCCAATATGATTGTCAAAAATATTATAAAAAACATGAATGGAATTCCACTCCTATAGAACAAAGGATCATATCCAAAATTCCTGCCAAATAGCATCAATAGACCATTACTTCTCAAAAATGCTGTTCAATCTCATGCCACATGTTGTTACCTATGATATTTATTCCCTATTACTCATAAAGTTCCCTATTACTCGTAAACATTAAAAGTTGAAGTCATAACTAGAGCTCAACAAAAACTAAAATGGGTCGGAGACACATGAATCTTAAGTTTAAACGACATTGGCAAGAAATTTAAACACTGAACTCATGCAAACTATGTAAATCAGCCCAAGGTAATCCGAACCTGCTTAGTTAGGCAACCCATTTTTTAAACCTGCTAGTAAATAAACCAACACCCAACATGCTCATTTGTCGTTAGACCTGGATTAATCTAGGGTTTCGGATGCAATTGTAGCCTGTAATATGAAAGTCTCATTACAACTTTAAGAAGACTCAATCCAACATGCAAATTTTTTTATGCGGGCTTTATAGTAAAGCTCTAATAAGAATCAAGCCCTCCTAAATTGTGCAACTAAAAGCATCAGCTAATTACTTCTTACTGCACGAACATTCTGCTCGGAAATGTATTTCATACAATTTATGTGTCCTTTTCAAGTATGCACTACGGCGTATTTAGGTATCAGTCTCAAAGAAGTCTTCCTTCAAATTACATGCTGAAAGTTGGAACCTTTCTCTGGCCAAATAAAAATTCTTTTGGCAATTCATTCAGAACCATCACAAAAAAAGTACAGTATAACTAAAAAAAGCATTTGAAATTCATTCAATCATATCTTTTAATCACCAACTCCCGATCATGCTACATGTACAATGGTTGACAACAATGAGTTAATAAAATCTATACCATCCATTTTGAAAGATGTTTTTAAATCCATACAGATCTTGACAACATGCATTGTCAACAAAAGTTGTCAACAATCTATATACAAATAGCTTTATTCCCCAAGTCCTCTCTACAATGAATAAACTCAGCAGAAGGCTGATAATATTAACTCAATTAGGTCACCCATCTTCAATTCGCCACAATCCATTGTCAATTTAAATATCAAGCTAAAACATAAAGGAATTCTTACTGTTTTAAATATTGGTAATATACATTAAACTGGTCTTACTTGAGGAGGATGCGAAGGACGATTAGAAGGAGCGTGTCGAGACTGACGCGGAGCGCGTCGCAGCGGATTGCAACCCTCAGTATCCAGCCGTTCGTGGCCGCCGGAATTAAGATGGTGGTGATTATTTGCGTGACGGTGGTGGCGGCGATTGTTCCGATCGAGAGAGGTTGTGGAATCGAATTCCGGAACGAATTCTAATGGGTTTGAACTCCTGCCAAAACGAGACCTCCTATTGTAGAATAGCTCCGACGCGCTCGTCATACAAGTTCAGTAACTGAAAAAAACTGACCTCTGACAGCCTTTATCTCTAAGTATTCAAAGATTAAATGCTGTTTATTTATGTATGGCTTTTCAAAAAAGTAGAGCAGAATATGGGTCCGGGGAAATTGCGATTTTGGAAAGTGGAGAGGTTGCGTTGTAGCTTCGCTGAAATTCAGAGCAGAAGCGACGAGAAAAGCAAGGGAAAGCGCAGTGCATATATGTATATGTATGGAGGAAATTTCCCAGCAAAACCAAATGACTAGGTCAATATTTTGTCCTGGATTAAAATTCAATTAAAATATCAAACCAATAATTAATTTTAACCACACATTTTATAAAATTCACAATTTTTTAACCACATATTTTATCAACTTTTATTAAATTTACTAAAAATCCGATTTTAATCTCCACAAAAAAAGAGAGTTTTATAAGTACAAACATTGTCCTAAATTCATATTTTATTAATTTTTATCAAAATTTGCTAAAAATCTTATTTTAATCTTCATAAAAAAGAGCTTTATGAGTACATTGTCCTAAATTTAGGAGCGTAGTTTTCAATGTTTTGTGCCACAAGGTCAATTTTGTCGGCAAATTTTCATTAATAATACTTGCATATAAAGAGTTACATACAGATAAAGTGTCAAAAAGAGAGTCGGAATTTTATATTTTTTCTTTGGTTGAAAAAAATTTACTAAATCATATCTCAGCACATCATGCTTATGCAAACCATTATGTACATTTAGCACGTTTGAATTTTCATCCGTAATGGCTTAACTTTTTGTAGAGAAATCTTCCATTGAATAAAAGCCCTAATTTTTAACTAGAAATTGAAATCAGCAAGTTTTCATGGATTTTTAACTAATGTTGCAAATGTAAATTACAAGCCAGAGATGAACCTCAGCAAAAAAAAAAGTCCACAAGTGATACTTCAGGGAATACTCATAACTACTGTAGAAGATGACATTCAAAATTCTGAATCCCGTTACAAACATATTAACACCAGTCGAAGAACAGAAAGGGTGCGACCTCAGTAAGATAAGTTGGGAAGAAATAGACATGACATGTTCGTGATTGAAACTATCGCTTCTTTCTACCACCCTTTACAGATTTAGAAAGGCAGGCTGTTGAGGTGGAGGCTGGCTTTTGTTTCTTTGTCCGACCTGGGTGTCTCGGGACCAACTCAGCTACACGAAAAGTTAGCTGTTTCCCTGTCATATTATCTCAACACGTTAAACAAAAAAGACACGGAGTAATTGCAAACTGGAGCATCATAAGATGAATGATCATCAGAAATAGACAAATGGTATGAATATTTTGTGAATTTGCACCAATTGTTGGCGTGAAACAGATTCCATTAACCGCGTGCACGTGTTGAGCTCTTCTATCAAGTTCACCAAATAACTCTATTTGCTACAAAAGTATAATGCTGTGAAACAGATGCCATTAAGCGTGTGCATGTGTTGAGCTCTTCCATCAAGTTCACCAAATAACTCTATTTGCTACAGAAGTATAATGCTATGAAAGAAGAGCCAAAGCAGCAGTTTCGCATTCCTCCTCTTAGATAGTGTGCACAGAAGGGCAAACCAGAGTTTCTGGAGGCAAATTTTGGCAGAACATCTCCACTAAGCACAACTGAAGTAATCTACAATCCTATTGCATATTGTCCTGCATTTTGTTCATTAAATGAATGTACAAATATAGAAGTTTCTATTTGACATGATTAAGATGATGAAAGAAACTTGTCGTATGGAAACAAGGTAATGCTCATTTATTCATAAAATTCAGTGATAACGTGTAGCTGGACAAATGTTACTTCGATTTCGTCTGTCAACTCCACATATATCCATGCTGAAGTCCTTTTTTCGCAGCTTAAATTTGGATTAAAATTATTCACGTTGGAGAAAACACCCCACAAACTTGGATGGAGAATGCAGTGAAGATTCAACACTTAAGAATGCAGAAAAAATATATCTGAGAAGTGAATAAGAATTCATGCATGCTAGACCTCAAAGCAGTCCTGTTCTTTCAATAAACAGAAAGAATTGCACTTGAGAATTAAATGAAATCGGCTTGTTTTCCTACTATTTTTTCTTATTTACAACAATCTATATCATTATATTAGAAACTAAGTGAGAGGATTAGCTCATCTTTTGGAGTATCATCTGCGTCATGAAGTCATTCTAGATAATGTATGTTCAAGAATAACACGAAAGATAGAGCACATTTAGAAGGTGATCATTTTACAGTTTATACATGACTGAATTGACGACATTAAAAAAATTCAAGAATCAACCAATTCGACTCCATACCATAATGGCAAAAAAATGAAATAACAAAAAAGAAACCGGGCGAAATGAGAAAAAGAACAATAGAATTTGCAGTTACTAGAAGAAATGGATGGATTGTATAGACTACCATCTTCTCTTTTCAACTGAACCCTCATTCTCCCTCTTTGCATAGAATCGCCTTCTCACTCTATAATATAACCAAGTCTCACGAACCCATCATAAATACACAACATCTATGCAAAAGAATTGAAGAAATTATTATATAACAAGATCACATAGATGCATCAAAATTCATAGAAATCCACAAATCATATGCATAGGTAAATTTAATGTACAAAACCTGACAAACCCATCAAAATTCATACACGAATACCTAATATATGCATGTAAACTAAAAATTGCATAAAGTTTATACCTCAATAGCGCATGGGAGTTTCAGATGGCTGCAGCAATCATAAATCTCAGCTTAAGTTGTTGGAATCTTGTTTTTCAAAATCATGGATGGATGAATCATGGGTGAATAAAAAAGGGAAATGACGCCATGAAGATCGCATAGACCTGTTATGCATGCGGTCGCATAGGCGCGAAGAGAAAATTCAGAGGCAACCAAGGTTATAACTATGCGACCGCATAGTTATAAAATTCGACCGTTGGCTAAACTTTTTCGAATTTTTTGATTGTTTTCTTGGTGAAACGTTGCATCTTTTCTTTATGGGTTGGAACCATTTCGTGTAGAGATGATTGAAATCTATAAATACATATTGGCGTTCATCCCAAAACATATGAAAATCCATTCTATTATTCATCCAACTTTTGAAGAAATTATATTCCTTTACATAATCAATTTTTTCCCTTTTCACTTGTTTATTTGAAGATACATTTAGCTTTTGGTATTCTTCATTAAGGCCTGATAAATCCTACAAACTATTTGTCATTTTCAATCCTTAAAGCATAACAAGATGAGACAAATATCGTTTGAGGACAACGATATATTTTCTTGTTCAAGTCTTCTTCGAATATTTTTTCATCTTCCTATTCTTTTGTTTCCTTCGCTATATTTTATAATTTGCTTACATAAGTAGGGTTCGAGATAATTGAACCAATAATTACTAAACTTAGGTGACATCTTTAATTTCTTCTGCACTTTAAGATGTCCAATTTGACCTATATTCAATTTTGTTTCGCCACTTAAGGAAATAGCTTCCCCGATAATCGGATTTCACATCTGGTGCTTCATCACGCGATGACCGATAAAACAGACACTGATGGTGTTCAGGATCCGGTAAGTGTTTATAGTCAGTAGGAAATTTGACGACAATAGAACTAAATTTAGGAAGTTGATGTTCTGTATAACTTTTCTCTCTTCTATTAGTTAAAACTAAAGAAACTTACCTGAAATCTTTATTATTGTTGTAATCTCTTCTTCCCTATATTAAAATTAATGAAATTTTTTATGTGTATTATATTTACTATTTAGTCCTTGTTTGGTGTAATTAGCCTCTGTTTGATCCACATTCTTTCAAAACTTATTTTCAACTGCACACTGTTCAATAAAATAATATTTTTCATCACATTAATAAATTTTTCTTACTTTTTAATCATATATTTTCCATTGTATCATTATTTAAAATACATATTTTCTCAATAATATCCATCAAACTCACCCTAAAGATCTTATTTTTAGTAGATTTTAATAAAAAAAAATAATAAAATGTATAATTAAAAGTTGATAAAAATTATGGATTCCATAAAATTTGTTTTGAAAATTAACTGTTGACATTGATTTAAATTTTTATCAACTTTTTAAACTAAATTAAATATGAGTTAATCCCTTCTTCTATCTTGTTAAAATTAATGAATTTTTTATGTGTGTTATATTTAGTCATTGTTTGATGTAGTTAAATATCTTATTTTTAGTAAAATTTGATAAAAGATAAATATGTGATTAAAAAATTAATAAAATTTGTGAATCTCATGAAATTCGTTAACAAAATTAAGAAACGTGCTACATGTACATTGTTGTTTGAGTAGTGATATTTAATACCACTAATTTTTAGCACTGGTCTATGGACAATTAGATGTTATTAAATGATAGGTTCATTTAAATACAAAATCAAAACATCTATTTATTTGCGCCTATCAAGTGTGGACACATAAATTAGTGTTTTATTACCACTGATGCTAGATAGCATTTTACATTAACTTTGACATCATTTCACATGGCACTAATCACATACTTTGATTTTTTCAACATCATTTCACATCACCGGCTAGATTTTTACATATATGGGGGAATGTTATCCTTAATGTAAGAGTAATGCTATTTATCATTAGATTTTATCAACTTGTACATAATTTTTTGTACATCAAGGTATACACCCTCTCACATGAGAGTGAGATTTGCTTGAATAAAAAATATTTTCTCTAAGTGGACCCCACCCCCATGTGAGGGGGTTTATATCTTGATGTACACAAAATTATGTGCAAGTAGCTCGGCTCTTATCATCATGATGATGGAACATTGATGATCCCCCCCACTCCCTCTCCCATAAAAATTGAAATGTTCATTATTTTACATAAATTGTCATATCATCGATGTTCCATTATTATTAACATTATTCTTAATGTAAACAATAATGTATATCTAAAATAATTCAAAAATTAATTTTTAACTTTAACTTAAATTTTATCAACTTTTTTAACTAAATCAAA